TAGGGAAAAGCTTTGTAGGAAAGTATTTCCCATCAGTGAGAGAATCATCTGATCATCACACATCCAGTCAAATGAACTGATTTCAGTCAGTAATGCGGGTTTGACCCAGCTCTGACACAACACAGTTTCAAATTCTGCGACCAGCACACAGTTATACTAACAAAGCAACCATATGTAGATACCGTCATCGTGCCATGACATTACAGAGATGTTTTTCTATTGTGAAATTACAAGTAACATTACATCCCTAAAACACACTGAGCCTTGTATCACTGTAAAGAAGCCAAGACAAAAGAAAACAAAAGCATCATCCTGTATCCAAGACCAACACAATGCACTGGTAAAAGAGCTGCTGTTGCAGATTTGTTGATGATAAATATCCATTAATTTACCATTAGCATGTTCTTGACAGATTTCAGAAAAGAATGTTGCCCATGGATTAGCAGCCGCCCTTCCTGTTGTTGTTTCACCATAATAGCAATGGAGTAATGATGAAGTAGAGAAACTCCCACTGAAAAGCTTTTCCTTTTCAGCATCTTGTGTGAAGTGGTGCCGACGGCCTCTCGTGGAGCCTGAGCTCGTGTTAAAGAGGCGCTCTGTCTCGTCAGCAACAGCTCCCTGCTGCACGCCACAGGCCTGGTGTCCTGCCACCGCGGCAGTTTATGCAGTTTTGATGCCAGTCTGTGATCATCTTGTCAAAACTGAATTTGTGTCCTGCTACGTGGCATCTCTCTTACTTTCTAGGATGAAACAGAACCTGCTGAGATTTTCTTATTAACATGTTGAGTGATCCAAGCCTTAATATTTGCATGGATCCACATCTTGATTTACATAAAATTGTTTCTATTTTGTGTATCATACATTTCAAAATACATTCCACATACAGAAGGTAGATTCATGTACAGCTTCCTCATGAAACTCAAAGCTAAATTATTCAAAGCTAAAGCTGAAACTGTTAATTAAGACTTGTGGCAGAATCAACTGTCATTATGGTGTCAGTGGTCAAGAGTTATTGCGTGTGATACTGCGTGCTGCGTTTAAACTGCATCATTGAACAATCCCTCTCTGCAGTCAGTAAGCACGTTTTGCTTTGTATGATAATACAAAATGTTATAATCCGTTATCAGTCCAGAAATGAACTGTAAGGTGCAGAAAAAGGCCACATACTGCTGCTCTTTTTGACCATGGAGGCTGTTTTTAGTTGCTGAGTTAGTGTCACGCTGCTGCCAGTGCTGTTCTTCTCCGACTATGCTGGGTTTGTTCAAGTTGGTGCTGACTCCCCTTAGACCCTTTTCAGACTGGGTATCTGTTTTTGAAAATTAGTTTATGTACTTTTAGTTTGGGCCAGTTTTCCACAGATTACTTTTATTCATTTAAATGCAAATATCACTGACATGTTATTCCACCAAATTAGTACTGCACTTCAATAACATTAAGAGATGATTACAACTGATGCAGCGGGGGCCAAAATAAACTATTCTTTAGTCCCTAGTGTGGGTCTAGTTCCAAAAACAATGAGTACTACACTTCCCACAGTGCAACACAACAGCAAATTTTTAGTGTCTGGTAAATAATCACACTTTTCAAACCCAAGACTGTGAAAAGGTACCGTCGTCTGAAGCACAGTTCATAGTAAACAACCCTGGTGACATCACTATGACATCATCAGGGCTATTTTTTCTGACTTGACATTATACAATTATTTTTACTTCCTGTAACAAATAAACTGATCTTAAAAGTTTGATTCACTCTGCATCCAGGTCCTCTGAGATCTCCAATCTTTGTTCCATCTGTAGGGATCATGACACAATCAAAGACCATCAGGTTCCCCCTACATCTTGGTTTTTCCTGAGCCGCTCGCTGTTTTATAGCATCATACTTACACTTGGTATTGGGTGACTACAGTAGAGGTCGGCATGTCATCTATGGAGTGTTACAGTGGTTGTTAAGAGGATGGAGTGTATTGCTTCTTTTGTTTGTAAGGAAATGCTGAATCAACAATAAAACATGATCGAAATAAAGTCAGTATATAAGACGAATCCCCTACACTGACTGGATGACAGCAGTCACTGATTCTTGCTTGCTTTTGCAGCATGTCTGAATACCAACAAAATGAAGTACGACTCAAACTGAGCTGGTCTCAAATGTATGTCTATGGCATCCGGTTTAAATAGCTGCTAGTGAGGGTCTGACGTTTATTTATAGAAAGCTATTTATTACAGATTGGGTTTTATGTTCCTTCTCCCATTGGAACTATTTTTATTGTTGCTGTGCTCAGAGCTCAAAAATTACTTTGGTGAGTACAAGGTTATTATTACGCAAGATGTGTTCACTTTCATTGCTGTAAGGTATATATGAGCTGAAACCAGCACACGCTTAGCTTAGGACAAAGACTGGGAACAGGGGAACAGCCTGGCCCTGTCCAAAGGAAACAACGTCCACCTATCACCACCTCTAAAGCCCATTTCACAACTGCTGTAATTCCAGTCTGACTCACCCCATCGTTAGCATAGCATTTGCAGTGTTGTCCTAGGATTCTTGCTCAAAGTTAAACCAGCAGCATCTGTGTGTTCTGAACCCAGGTTTCTGGTCACTGCTGTTTCACATCAGAGCACCCTAAGAGAACTGAAGTAATGACAGATCAGTTTTGGTCAAGGAGCCATTTGCTTGACGATGCTTCAGGGTCATCAAGTGCCACTAAACTGGAAAAGCTTAATGTAATTATTAATTAATTTATCTTTTAAGCTCAAAGCGGGTCCATTAGTTTTTTGTTGTGGACTCTCAACAGCCCTGCTGGTTCTTTTTGTGTCTCTCCACATCATCCTGTGCTGCCTTGCTCTCATTTGTCACAGTCACAACTCTTCTTCTTCTCATCTTCTTTCTCTTCATCTGAATGTGCAAAGCTCTGCCTCACTCTTTTTCCTCTGTTTCCTATCCTTTCACCCCATTTGTTATCAATCCTTTCAAGTATTTCACTCTTTTCAACAGATTTCTTTCCTGCTTACTTCAGCTCTCTCTCCTCTCCGATTCCTTTCACCTCTCCCTCTCCTCCCTCCCTTTTTGTTTCTGCTCTTCCCTTCACTCACATTCTCTCACGGTTTCGCTTCCTCTCACTGTCTTTCACCTCCGCCTCATCTCTTTGCTTGGGTCTATTTTTCTCCGGCTTCCTTTTCTCTATTATTTTCTTTCTGTCCATTGCCTCCATATCCTTCTAGCCTGTCTCCTCATTCATCTCTTTTGTCTTCTCCTCGTTCCCTTGCATGCCAACGCCTGCGTATCTCAGGCCGCAGCGCAGAAAGAGTTGGAGATGGTGACAGAGACTGGCTGTGTGTGCTGTGCACCAAATCCCCAGCTGACCTCCTACCGCATTTGAACTCTCTAATCTTGTGACAAAAGGAATGAGGCAATGAGCTGCTGCTTTATGGGAAAGGTCAAACTGCTAACTAATCTGCCCCCCACCCCCCCATCATCCCCCGACGGTGCTCTCTGCTCTAAACATCCCGCTGTGCCATTGCTCTCATGTCTTGAGGTAACTGCATACTGCAGAGCGCCTTCACAAGTTTTGTGTAGCAATTAATTACCCTCACTGTAGCCGGCACATATGGGCTATTATCATAAGGCCTCATGGGAAGATATTTCCTGCAACCATTATTCTGTGGGAAGTGACAGGGAATGTTTTAAAATGCCAGCAGGCTTTTATTTCACTCCTTTGTTGGTCCTGTAGTCAGGCCAGAGACGAGCACACAGGGCTTCTTGGTTACTTTTTAACTTTCTTGGTCTGCAAAAACAGAGAAGGCAGAGAAAGTAAGGAACAATGTGAAAGAGAAGTTGGGATGACTAGTATCTTGTGCGTAAGACAACAGATCAGTTCCTTTCCTTTTACATGTACAGCATGTTTCTGAAAAGCTCAGTAAACAGACTAACATCTTGAGAAAGGCTAACGAGCTGAGTCCCACAAGAAGAATTACGATCTCGGGAACACTGTCGGTATCAGTCCCTTGAGAATATGACAGTGTGAAGTCAGACCTCCGGCTCAGATGACTCACATATTTCGGCAGATACAAGTCACCAGGGAAATCTGCTGGGTGCTTTTTTCGTCTTTGTCATGTCAGAATATGCAGAGGTTCAGTTCTTTACAACAAGTGAATTTCAGGCAAAGTTCAGGTCATACTTTTTTGACAGAACTTTATACAACTGTATTCAGACACTGGGGATTCAAGCAACGATACATATTACTATGGTTAATGTTTCACATGAGCCACAGAGGTGTCAGAAATACTTTTAATTTGATGAAGCCCTCCAAGTTCATTGTTTCCCAGAGTGAACCTTTTTGTTTAGAAACAACATTTCCCTGCATCTCCCGGTGTCCTGGCTGAGCGCCTCGTTTTGTACGCCCCCTCTCTCCTTCCATTGCTCATTTTTCACTCTCTCTCCTTCTTTTCCATTCTTCGCTCTCTCCTGTTCAACCCCTCGTTCTAGGCCTCTTTGCTTTCCTTCCTGTATTGTTGGCACTGCTAATGGGCTTCTCGAAGTGGCCTTCAGAAGCAGCTGGATCGCCGCCGGGAGCCTTTGGAGACCTGCCAGGCCGTCATATGCTCCTATCCACTTTATCCTCCTCACACATTTTAATCTCTTCTTTCTCTCTGCCACCATTCATCCATCCTCGCCCTCTCCCACTCTCAGCCTCCTTCTTTATTTATCTCCCTCTTCAGTCTTCTGCATCTCTTCGCTTGTCAGTGTCTCCTCTTTGCATCTCAGTTCTTTTCTTCCAAAATGTATCACGCTGTAAAATCACTGTCCAGTCTTTCTGTCAAAAACAAAATGGGTATTTCATGAAGCTAAATGATAATAATTATCATTTAGCTGTACTCCAAACTATTTCTTAGAAGTTTTAACAACCTGGTTTTTCACCTAAGAGGCGGAACCAAATGCCACTGTTGTTGCACAGTCAAAAGGTGGGACTTTTTATCATTTACACAACTACTTTATCCCTTCGACACATTGTTTACTTCAGCTCTGGTTTCCTCTGATTGATGGCTTTTGTTTGTAGATATTTGACATTCAGAATCTGATGAGGGGTTTGGCCATCAGCTGCACTGATAGAAACCGAGTGTTTGCTTCTCCATGCGTCACATTCTGGGTTTAAAACAGTTTCCAGGCTGAAGGAATGTCACAGAACATCCCAAAAACTTGTTTACTTAAGGCAGCGAGGGGATAAAATCATCAACTTGATGCATCAACCTGCAACTCATGCAGAAAATCTTTGGCAGGTCCTGTTCTGCGGTGTGGTTGGTGCTCCAATGTGTGGTTCCCATTGCAACATTTCGTAATCAGTGACCTCAGGCAGACACGCAACCTGTCACTCAGCATTTGTTTTTTCTCCTTTCTTCTATTTGTTTCTTTCCTTTCTATGCCTATTTCGCCATCTGCAGAGAGATCTCGCTTTCTATTTTGTGCTTCTCTTTTCCATCACTATTTCCTGTAGCTTTCTTTAGAATCATTAACATGCTAACACTAGTTACACAAGTAATAGTTTTCCATCCCTGTACAAATTATTTTAAGGTGCCTCAGTTTTTAGAATATGTGCAAATTGATGAAATATGAAACAGGTTCTGTGTCAAGTCAAAGTCCTGAAAGAATTAAGCTACAAAACAAAGATGTGGATGCTCCAGGGTATCTGCACACTCACACACAAACATGAAAACACAAACATGCAAGATGAATACTCAGTCGAAAAATGACTACGCCCCTGGGGAGGCTGATGTTTGCAAATTTGGAAAAAATTAACTTCCAAAGAAAAGTGAACACATTTGTGTCTTCAGCTTCATGCCTGCACAAAGACAAGAAACTAAACAGGTCTTCGCTGCTAAAATATTCATTCATTCATTTTCTACCGCTTAGTCCCTGAACGGGGTCACGGGTGGGGCCGGAGCCAATCGGGCGAAGGCGGGGTACACCCTGAACAGGTCGCCAATCCATCGCAGGGCTAACACATAGACGAACAACCACACACACGCACGCACGCACTCCTACGGGCAATTTAGAGACACCAATCAACCTAAGTTGCAGGTCTTTGGTCAGTGGGAGGAAGCCGGAGTACCCGGAGAGAACCCACGCAAGCACGGGGAGAACATGCACACAGAAAGGTCCCAGGTGGGGCCCGAACCCAGAAACTTCTCGCTGTGAGGCAACGGCGCTAACCACTGTGCCACCGTGCTGCCAAAGTAACTAAAGCTAAAAGTCGATTGTCAAACTGACCCATCATGAGTTTGATGCTCCTGTTTGTACAGCAGACACACCAGCAGCATTATCATTTGGGTAACTCAGCGGCTTTGGCATTCCTCTAACCTTTCTTCGCTGATACTGAATGACAAGATGTCATTTTTTGCAGGAATCTCATTTTGGTTTATTAGAATAAAACACCCTCAATGTGGCGTCAAAGAACAGAGCAGTCAAACTGAGCTGTGGTGATTGTGTCGCTGACTGACTCAGCATGTCCTCATAATGTGTGAAAATGCTGATCACATTCATGAACACATCAGTGCCTGAAATCTGTTAATCTGCAGTGTGTTATGGATCAAACTGTTGCCATTTTTTGGCCTTTTTACTACTTCTTTAATCATATGTGATGCCACTTTCCAATTCAATACCAGATAAAACCCAGGCTGGTATTGCCGATACCAATACAGATACAGATACTTTGTACAAAAAAACAATGATGTTTTGACACACAAAACACTTGGTTATGATTAGACACACAAACTAGTTGATTAGCTTTAGGGGAAAAAAACTATTAGGTTAGGGTTTAAGAACAAAAAATGATTGGTTAGGTTTCGGCGCAAAAACTACTTGGTTACGTTGAGGGAAAAAAATGACTTGGTCATGTTTAGGAACAAAACCACATGGTTACATTTAGGAATAAAAACCCTTGAAAAACTCAACTCACACACTGGAATTGAACTGGTGTCTTCTGGGGAGGGTCCTGTGTTGCGTCTACCTAGCCACCTACCACAACCCTCCTCCTCCGAACGCCGGCTTTGTGCCTACATTTCTTCGTAATAACCTGCTGGAGTTTCCTGTCGTATTGTAGAGGACGACACTCTCACCAGCTACTAATTCTTTCTTTCTTGCTGGCTAAAATAATTTTGTTTTATTTTAGAGTCTGTCAGCAAAGTAAGCCAAACCCATTGGCTACAAGTCCACAAGTCCAGTAACATGACAGCATTTGCTATTGTTCCTGCCGTCTCTCTGTCTGCTTTATAAAGCCATTTTCTGTTTTCTTGCTTTAATAAACACCTGTGAAATCAGTCTAACCACAATGGCAACACAACAGTATGTGCCAGAATACAGCTGGCTGCTCTGTGCCTTTGTTTGTTCTCACACCGCTGCCACAGAGCCAACAGGAAGCGGTGGCCGGCACACATCGCACAGTGAAGCAGATGTTGAGTAGGCCTGAATTCAGGAGGGGCACGTGAGCTTTTCTGCTCAGCTTCACTTAGTTAAAACACTGTATCATTATGGATGGAAAGCAGCTCAGAGCATTTACTCAAGCACAATTTTCATGTACGTTATGAAGTTATATTTTATATTACACAATACTGTTTCGCTCTGTTTCATAAAAAATGTACTTTTCCTTCACTACATTTATCTCAAAGGCACAGTTATACCTTTATGTATGCATTAAATAAGAGATCTCAGTACGTCTTTTACCACATTCACGTTGCACATTTACACTCAAGCGAACATGCAGTTTAGGAACAAAAACACCAAAATACACTGATTACAGACTGAAACACACACTCGCTTACCTCAGTGTATGAGTGTGCTGATTCTGAGTTTCTGACAGGGTCCAGGGGATTCTTCTAATCACCTGAAATGAGGAAGTAGAAAGATATGGTCAGCATGTGAGGGAAGGGCCACCTTTAAGCTGATCATCTTCTCCCTGGCCCATATTATTATTTCCCCAAGTTTCTCCAATTAGGGAGTGCTGATGTGGGATCAGAGCACAGATCTCCCAGAGTCATCGCTTTATGGAGAGAAAAGGCGGAACCAGGAAGAACCGAGGGACAGGATCAGCAGAATTCCTCAAACATCCTTTACAAGTGAAGCTTCATGGAGCTCTGGAGGTCGGCTCTACTCTCTGAGCGCTCGTTTCAGGTCATGTTGTGCTGTGTGGACTTTTGTTCCTCCTTTTTAAATCACTGCCATTTAGTCGTTTACCAACATAGCATTAAGAACTTAATAATAAAAAAGTAAATGCAAATTCATCATTCTTTTGTTTATTGCACTTCATTTATGGTTTAATGACACAATAAGCTGCTGACTCTGAACTATTCTTGGACAAAGAATACAAAATTAAAAACAGTATTTCATGTAGCCATTTTCTGATTGTTCAAAGTAAATATACAACTTTTTAAAAATGCTGCGGCTGGAATCACTCAACATGGACATAAGAAAGAAAAGAAGAGAGCTGTCTGAGAAGGACTAAAGGAATAAAACCACTTCCAACCACTGCTGAGGGAAAGGCTACAGGAACATCTCAAATCGACTTGTTCCTGTGAGCACAGCTGCTGATACAATCAGAAAGCGTTAGGTCCATGGGAGTGTAACCGACCTCGCTGGATGTGGCCGCAGGAGAAAAACTGAGTCTGAGCAGCAGTTCTACAGTAATACAGTAAAGGTGTAGTGATGCTGAGGGCTGCGTTTCCCTCCACAAATCCAGTGTCAGTGTACAGAGCTGTTAATATTGGGGACACACCTGGACTGAGTCTTTAATATTCCCTATTAGTTTGGGGAATAAAAGGGAATTAGCGGCTCAGCAGAGTGGAGCGTATGGAGGGTTAAAAATGTGAACGAATCAGCAGCTTTCACTGAAAATACTTTGAATCTGTGCTGAGTTTGAAAAGGGGGTGAGAGCATTCAGCAAGGTGTGTTTATTGTTTACTGCCTGTAATCCTGCTGGGTCCATATTCAAATACGCTTCATACACTGAACAGTAAAGGAGTTTGTTTTATAACAATGGAACCTAAAGTTACAGTACTCCAATAACTAAATTCTATCAGCCTAATGTGTCTCCCTGTTAAATTTAAGGATTGAGCTGGTTTGGGCTGATATAAAAGTATGGAGACATCAGAACACTTCACCCTCATGAAACAGTTAAACATTTCATTCTGAAAGCATGTGTGTGAATGTGTTGCTACAACAACGATAAAACCTGCCACATTTGGCACATCAGGAAAGGCAAAGGGTCTCGAGCCACTGCAGCCACTACTCTATATAAACCACACTTCCTTAATTTAAGTTGATGTTCACCTTGCTTCATCCATTCACTCCCCACATGCAGCTCACAGCCATCCTACTGATGGAGCCCGAGCTGGGAGGGAAATGCACAGCGCTCTTACCTGTGCCACTTTTGGCACTCATTTGTTTTTGATTCTACATGGAGAAGGGTGCCGCTGATCTACTGAGGGCTGAAATTAAAAACTGTATCCTCTGTCCGAGGAAAGTTTCACTGAGGCAGCTGCTCCCCCTGACTTGCTATTATCACATTAGTGCTTTCTTGTGTTTGTGCTCACACTCTTTGAATTATCATGCAGCGCTGAGCTCACAGTGACACACCATATTTTACGGGCTGCTGTCAGCCTACGGGGTCACAGCCTTCTGAACATGACTTTATTTTCATTGTTTCATGCAAAGACATTGCGGTAAAGCAGCTACCGCAGAAAGAGGTGGATGGGTGGAAACGAGCAAGTCATGTTCAGAATAATTACTAACATATGTTTTAGATGTTTTATGGATTTATAGGGTGAAGCTAACATCTACAGATAATATCCTGAAAATACCCTGCAAAAAGCATTCATCTTAAAAAGTGTTTCTCACATTACTAAATGCAGACACCTCATTTTAATATCAAACCACTGAAGGAAACTGACCATAGTGCTTCCTAATCCAGTTTATTCATTTGGATATTTACATTGATTGTGACTTTATTGTCAACACATCCAGTCCAGACAGGAAGTGTTTGGACAGATGCTTACTTTTTTGTTCTTCAGACTCAGCGATTCAGCACATTCAGTTTGAAACAAAATACCAGATACTGCCTCAGTGTGCAAAGTTTCAGCTTTAAGTTGAATAGGTTCACATTAGTACTGACAGAACTGTGTGGGTGATGCAGCCTTTTGGCTCAAAAGGAGTAAAGTGTGGAGGAGCAAAGGACCGGCTCACGACCAACGCGTCATCTGTCAAACATTGTGCTGCTTCTGTTACTGGGGGTGTATGGTTACCAGTGGAAGTGGCACACTGGTGTTTATTGATGAGTCCACTGCTGATGGAAACAACAGGATGAACGCAGCCAAATCAATCAGAAGTCAAAGCTCCACCAGGGAAGACGCAAAGCACCTGCTGCTGTCGATGGGTCGAAGACCTCAAAGGATTTTCCACCAACTGTTGATTTTGATTGATTTCATGTGTGTCTGTTCAGTCACTTCTGAAACCTTAAACTTTGTATTAAAAGGGGCTATATTTGTTGTAAACCTACTCAAATTAAAGCTCAGACTTGACACTTTAATGCAGTATTTAGTGCGTTATTTCAAATAGACTGTGATGAATCATAATGTACATCAACTAGTCCTTATGAAGTAAGCATGCTGAATGTGTCCTCTGTCTTAGCAAATCAGTTCTGATTCTGAAAAATATTTGAAATTGTGCTTTGCTATGTGGTTCAGCCCTTTTCTAGCCTTTTTAAGAGCACCCACTCTCAGTAGGTTAAAATGCGCCTGTTCCTGTGTACTGTGAAAAATCCAAGATCCAATTGAGTTCTGAGAATTTGCCAAACATGGAAAACCTGAGTGAATCTGCAAATAAGCAGCTCACGTTTTGCCTTTTTGATCCTTTAGATCTCACTCTCATTGCAATTTTTAATGATGAAACTAACTTTTGGGAGAGATCAAAAACACAGTGTGTGTGTCTGCGAGATCATAGCTGTTAGTAAGAATATGTTGTTAGCTGGGATGGACCAGTGAAACCAAAAAGATGAGTGGGAAAAAAAAAAATCCATAAATCCTCAGACTCGCATGACAAAAACAAACCTGCAAACAAAACAAGCTAAAAAAGGAAACACTTCCAGTCTGCTAAAAAAAAGCAAAGAGCAGACTCTCTGGGGAAAATGAAGGATTCGGTTTCCAGGCAGCCTGCATAAGTAGCAGCTGATGGCACAAGGGGCTCAAAAGGACTCAGAAGCTCTGAACACTGCAAATGTCCTGCAAGAGCCCGCCTGAGAAATGAGCTGCTGGAAACCAATCAAGCTGCAATGAATCAACGTGCTCGAAGCTTTTCTAGAGCAGAAGGGAGGGAACGATCATGTCTGCAACACACACACACACGCAAGGACACCTGATATCAGAGGCAGGAAAAGGCACTCAACACACACCTGGCTGTCAGATTTTCTTTATGCATGTAGACTTTGCACTTTCTTTTTTCTCACAGCACAGAGGCCTCAACACTGATTTTTCATTTTAATATCAATTGACTGTTAACTACTGGAAGACAAATAAAGGGTTCATAAACTAATGAATATTTGTACTGCACATAGAGTGGGTACAGAAAGTATTCAGACCCCCTTAAATTTTTCACTCTTTGTTATATTGCAGCCATATGCTAAAATCATTTGTTCATTTTTTGGAATGATGCAACAAGTTTTTCACACCTGCATTTGGGGATCCTCTGCCATTCCTCCTTGCAGATCCTCTCCAGTTCTGTCAGGTTGGATGGTAAACGTTGGTGGACAGCCATTTTCAGGTCTCTCCAGAGATGCTCAATTGGGTTTAAGTCAGGGCTCTGGCTGGACCATTCAAGAACAGTCACGGAGTTGTTGTGAAGCCACTCCTTCGTTATTTTAGCTGTGTGCTTAGGGTCATTGTCTTGTTTGAAGGTGAACCTTCGGCCCAGTCTGAGGTCCTGAGCACTCTGGAGAAGGTTTTCGTCCAGGATATCCCTGTACTTGGCCGCATTCATCCTTCCCTCGATTGCAACCAGTCGTCCTGTCCCTGCAGCTGAAAAACACCCCCATAGCATGATGCTGCCACCACCATGCTTCACTGTTGGGACTGTATTGGACAGGTGATGAGCAGTGCCTGGTTTTCTCCACACATACCGCTTAGAATTAAGGCCAAAAAGTTCTATCTTGGTCTCATCAGACCAGAGAATCTTATTTCTCACCATCTTGGAGTCCTTCAGGTGTTTTTTAGCAAACTCCATGCAGGCTTTCATGTGTCTTGCACTGAGGAGAGGCTTCTGTCGGGGCACTCTGCCCTAAAGCCCCGACTGGTGGAGGGCTGCAGTGATGGTTGACTTTCTACAACTTTCTCTCATCTCCTGACTGTATCTCTGGAGCTCAGCCACAGTCATCTTTGGGTTCTTCTGTACTTCTCTCACCAAGGCTCTTCTCCCCCGATAGCTCAGTTTGGTCGGACGGCCAGCTCTAGGAAGGGTTCTGGTCGTCCTAAACGTCTTCCATTTAAGGATTATGGAGGCCACTGTGCTCTTAGGAACCTTAAGTGCAGCAGAATTTTTTTTTGTAACCTTGGCCAGATCTGTGCCTTGCCACAGTTCTGTCTCTGAGCTCTTCAGGCAGTTCCTTTGACCTCATGATTCTCATTTGCTCTGACATGCACTGTGAGCTGTAGGGTCTTATATAGACAGGTGTGTGGCTTTCCTAATCACGTCCAATCAGTATAATCAAACACAGCTGGACTCAAATGAAGGTGTAGAGCCATCTCAGGGATGATCAGAAGAAATGGACAGCACCTAAGTTAAATATGAGTGTCAGAGCAAAGGGTCTGAATACTTATGACCATGTGATATTTCAGTTTT